TTTTTTTTTTTTTTTTTTCGATCGGTTAAAATCAGAGACGAGGAGGAGGAGCACAAGAACGATCAGCTCAGAGACTAAAAAAAAGGCCGGATTTTAAAATTTTATGTAATTCGTAGATCTGTTATTTTCTATGCTAGATATGTTCATTATTCAAAATAATCCGTGTAAATCGAACACATTTGGGAGCATTTTTTTTAAAATATCGTGCATATATTTTGATATTTCCATTTGCTACATTTTTTTGCAGGTTATGTATCTGGAACGAACGAATGATATGAGCATGACTGAAAGACGCAGGACAGTAGTAGAATTCAAAGAAGCCAAGAGAATGGACAAAAGAAAAGAAAAAAAAACACAAATACTGACTGTATGACGGGCCAAAGGTATATATATATATATATTTATATTTCTAAATAAATTAAGTTAATCTTTTAATTGTAATATCCTCATGTTTGATAAGGTTTTGATTACTGTTTACGAATTATATAAAATTAATTTATATATTTTGATCATCTTCGTTTGCATGTGAATCGAACCAAAAATAACATAGATACAGTCACAGGAAATGATTGAGTGCAATATTTACATTGTGCAAGGTACTGTTCTTGTTATCATGACAAACAAAGATGACATTGTGTTTTACTATATTTATTGAAAGAATTACTTAATAATCTGGAGTATACACTGGAAAATCCCGAGCATGAGTATTACATACATGGACAAAGACACAAAACAAACAACATATCCCAAATAAAAGTTGCTTCAGGTATGTCAATTTCACATTTATACACATTCTGATCAACTTAACCATTAATTGAATATTGAAAATATAACCTTGGAATAGATTAGACTCATTGGTTGTTTTGCTTGTTATGTTGAATACTTGTTCTGTTGCACGAATCTGAAAAAACAAAACATGTGTTAGAACTTATAAACAAAAATATAGATGTTATATAAAACTTCTTTAATGTGCACATACATATATGCAAAAACATATTCTGTCCTTATTGGCTTTTAAATTCAAAATATAAATATATAGTGCTTGGGGTAGGATGCATGGAAAGATCTATTGAAAATACGAATAGCTTTAAGCTCCTAAGATTGAATCTCATATTAATATATTGAGCTGTCTGACCAAGCCTGAATGCTCCATAACAACATTTTTTTTATTTTTGTTTAGGGATAAACGTGGAGACGAATTTTTGACAAGGATGTGAGGGTTGATTGACGTAAAACATGTTGTGGCTTATTTATAGTGATAATATGAATGAAAAGTATACATGAATGAGAAGTATACAAGAAACTAATCTTTTATTATACAAAATTATCAAATGTTTTTCCAATTCAACGAATTCATTACATGTTTATCATAGGAATAGGAAGTATACAGTAAACAAATCTTTTAATAATAACACATCTTTTAAATATTTAATTAAGAGGAATAAGATACTTATGCTTCACGTTTCATATATATATATAATTAAATCTGTATCATTTTGTAGCAAATAATTTATTAGTCCA